GTAAGCGTACGTTTTCGCGCGAAAGTGAATTTCCTCTCTCGCGAAATTTTCCACGGAGCGTCGAGGAGAAACGAGAAGGATTGGCGTCGGTTAGGTGGGTTCGATCTCCAGCTGTTTCGCCCAATGAAAATCTTTACGACCGAGCCACGTGTCGACGAGAGAGGAATTGTCAGGCGCTCTCGGCGAGTTGGTACGTTCCGTGCGAAAACGCCGACAGGCAGGATGGTGAAGTGCGGCACTGGGAATCGAGGTGACCGGTCTTTCACGAGCGAACGGTCGAGTGTGAATCGAACCCGAGAGCTCCACCTCCGAATATTATCCCCGACTATTATCGTAGTCGACGGTTCGTATTATCTCATCGGTCCATGTGTACTCGTGTCCAGCACACTCGGCCAGATTGCGCGTGAACATGCGCGAGTGGGTGTCTTCTGTGCGTGTGGCATTAATTTACGGGATAAATTCGCGATAACTGTAGAGAATCGTATTGTGCTCTGGTCGCCGCGTGTCCAGCGTGTTGTGCCTGGACTCTTTTGTCATGCAGATGGTCTCGCAGTTTTGCTCTCAACGGCGCGTGCCGCCTTTCGTCACGGGATATTATTCGGCTTCGTGGTCGGATCCAGAAAGAGTAACGGCCTTGAATTACCCGGCACGCCGAGAACAGTTTAACACGGTTCGCGTTTCTTCTTCTATGTATATTGTTGCGCCTTGCGGAGGATCGTTTGGACATTGTCCGAGAATTAACGTAATCTCTTTTGTATAGATAAAACATCATCCGAACGTCCGCACATTTCCATGATCGGCTTGCGACTTTCTGTTTAAACATTGCCGGTCGCTGACGAAAAATATATCGGTTTATTTTATTAGGATTCGAGGAATTATCTTCAGTCGGTGTACCAACTTCATGTCGGCGTAACAATATATATATATATTTACTCTTTTTCGATTTAAACATCAAAAGGAGAATATGGATGAAAAAAAAAAAACAGAAATGACAACGACAATTTAAAACGACCCGATCTAGATCTATTTTAAAACTATTTTAAAACTACACGCGATCCCGCGGCTCTGCTTAATCCGGTATGAATCTGTTGACGCAGGTAGTCGACGTCGAGGCGTTGGCAAGGTCACGAGGGAGGAGCTGAGGTCATCGCTGCACCTATGTTGTGCGGCGAACTCCTGAACGGTGGCTTCGTCAGTACCGGAGCGGTACCGGTGATTCCCTACGGTCTCTTAGGATTCTGGTTGCCCGGCTGTCTACGTGCTACCAGCCCGACTTCTCTCAACTCGTCTTATCTGACCCTGTTGGCCGAACTTCTGGCCACGGGCCACTTGGATCATCGAAGCGAGCTGATGGACCTCGCGAAGAGGAGCCATCAGGCTCCGACCAACGGGGCGGTCGACCTTGACCTCGACCTGCACGCTGACGATATCGACGAGAACGTTTTTCTCGGTGAGTAATCGCTGTCTCTGTCTGTCTCTGTGTGTGTGTGTGTGTGTGTGTGTTTTTGCTTCTTGGTAACGATGACGGCACGATCGAATGTAAAACGCGTGCGAAGACGTGTGTGTAATACTTCCCGTCCGCGGCTTTCATCGCCGTATCGCGACATTTCGCGAGCGGTTCCCTTCGTGATCGAACGGGGACAAGTCGTTGGCGCGTAATTAACAGTTTCAGGTCAAGGAGACTCTTTCCTCCATTAAAACGCGCGCTACGATAAATGCATGCATTTTAATAAGGCATCGCCTTTGAATATCGAAAATAGCGGATACTTCTATAACTTGGTTATTACGATCGAATCGATTTTCCCGCGATACGTCGGGCTTTCCATACTCCAGTCGTTCGTGCTCGTACATTTAACGAACACACTTCTACTCCCACCCCTGAGCCAGTTTCTATATGAATAGTAGTATATCGAATTCCGTTTCTGTCGGACAATCGGTCGAACGCGATTTTACCCCGGGTTCGCTCTACATCCGTCGAACAAACAACGCACTCGACGTATCGCCAGGTATCGTCGATACGACTTCACTTCGAAATGTTCCCCGGATAACGAAGACGCCGTCTATTCCTCGCGTTGACGGGCAATGACGACATCGCGAAAGTAGCTTGCGCGTTGGCAGAAGTGAGTGGCGCAGAAGTGAATCGCGATTACGACCACGCGAGTAAATATATATCTGTCGGCTGGTCGGGTGTACTCTCCCCAGTGGTAATATTCCCCCGTTTTTCTCTCTTGGCACGATTTGCAGACGGATCCGCGACAAAGTCGTTTGACAAATTTCGCATATTAAACCTCGGCTGCGGTGGAGACGGACGAAACGATTTCTCCACGAAATGATGCTCGTGTTCCTCGCTCGAATCGACGAGAAACAAAGATACAACGCGTAGGTTTATTTCAACTGTTCTGACATTCTAGTCGGTGCTTGTGCATTTCAATCATCAAACGGCGACAAAACGTTCGCCACGCTCGCAGCCTAGCCCTATAAACGATCCGGCTTTTTGGCGATCGACCATTCAGCCCTGAAAACCCCCGACAGTCTGGCCGGCGTCCAACCTCTTTTCTTCCCATCTACCTTTTTTCTTTTTCTTCTGTCCGTCTCTCTCTCTCTCTCTCACACACACACACACACATCCGATTCTTTCCTTTGCTCCGAGTCTTCCTAGCTCGCGAGAATTCGGCCTCTCCTCTAAATAATGGCGGGACGTTAACAATCTTTGCGGCTGTTTATCAAGATTTAGACCCTGAAAGAGTCGTTAAGCGCGCCGCGAGCGCACATTCTCCTCTCCTTTCGCCTCTCGACGAGAATTTAAGGACGTCCTGTATTAACAGGACGGGCTTTTCTCGGTCAGATGGATCGCGATTCTTGCCGTGATGCTCTTTCGTGTACTTCGTCGAAAAGTCTCTCGTCGACGCGTAACTGTTAATTTCGTCGATTCCTCTTCGAGATCCGTGACCACCTGAAAAGAGACTTCCCTTCCCCGACATATCGCGCACCGATAAATCTGGATTCCCCCGAGCAACAAGTCCGGCTGTAAACAAAATTTTTGTCGATCCTCGAGGCGAGGGCGAGATTTACAAGCCCGTACGTGTGCAATCCGCGGGAGTATCGAGCTTCCTCTTGGACAGAGGAGAAAGTCCGCTTTCTTCCGATTCGATCATCCATCTTTCCTTCGGCTGCCACCGATCGAAACCGTGCTACGTCCTCGAACCTCCACGAATCGTTAATAAATCGTTTCGCGACTCGCTCGAACCTATTTCGCCGGCAGTGCCCCGAGAAAAGTGGACTATCCGTCCATTCGGGATTTTTCGAGTAAAAATTGTCGAACATTCTACCGTCTATCGCTCCTCCGCACTTTTAATCCGAGGATAATATACCTTTATCGTCGTGCTATTTGGCTAACGGTCGGCGATTACGATATTCTTTCCTCTCGTTCTTCTTCTTCTTCTTTTTTTTTTTTTTTTTTTTTTAGCGTTTCGAGAAAGTGATTTCGGCAGAGAGGCTGAAAGCTTTCGCATAAATCGTTATAAAAAAATTGCAATGCGAATACGTCACAACAAGTTTGTGAAAATTGTGAAAATTCCGAGCGTGCCGCGCATTCGTGTTTCGGACACGAATTTATTTATTTCGTTCGTCAATTAATGAAGCAGCCTTCTGGCTAGAATAAAACTCTCGTTGGAACGCAACTACGAGTACCGGAGTTACGGAGATAGAAGAAGTTCACAAAGAGTTTCAAACTTGAGACCTCAGTCAGACAGGTTAAGTTCGCACGCTACAACGTGCTCAAAGTTATCTACCCTCGAACAAAACGGAGGCTGCTGCTCCGTCAGCTGATCGATCGACGCGTCGCCGCATAACACGAGCACTTTGATCATTTTCGTCGAGATCGAAATTTTGATCTCGACGAGCACGACCAGCTCGACGTAATTCACGTGACAAACTCGGCGGCCCATTATGGCGGTCCGATCGGAGGCCTGTGTCTCTGTGCGTCAGACGGCCCCCTAATTGGAATACCATTCCCCATCAGTCTTATTCGACGGAATGATGCATCGGCCCCCATCGAGGCAGCTGAAAGCTACCCGGCAACGGCAGTGGATTTTCGCGGCCCGTTGCAAAACCACTTGTCCTCCCGAGCCAGCAAAGTGGATGCGAGTTTGATGACAACACTTGGCTGCGCTCCGCCGCCACACGGCGGCCGAAACTTGGTGAAATTGAATCGAACTTGCCAGCTTCGAAGCTACTTTTATCGGTCGTCGGTTGTTCCGTTCCCCTTAAGGCCTTCGGCCTGCGCACAAAGGGCCAATAATCCGCGTACCCGTGGCCTGGCTAAAAATAATTCTCGTTCGAGGTCCTCTCGCGATATTACGTTCGCCGAAACGAATTTACCGGGCTAGAGGTACAAAAGGAACGCTTTTGCCCCCCGGTTTGTATCGTACTTTTTCGTCAGGGAGGGAAGGGGAAGAGGCACGAGCCTAGGCATAATCTGACTGAGCTGTCCGAGCAAAAATCAGGTTTATTAAATTTTTTGTCTCCCCACTGCTCGATATCCTCTTTGCGAATGGCTGGAGATACGCAAAATGCGTGTGTGACGTCCGAGACTGTGCAGGTAAAAATAATATAAAAATGAATATAAAAAAAGTTCATTAATTAACAGATACTGAAAGGTCCCAATACGGCGATAACGAAAAAAAATATTAATCTCTCACGCTTGAACAATTCGCTAGTTCCTCCATAATTCCTTCACGATATCGAAATCTTCGTCCTTTGCACACACACAACCGTATTCTCACATCTTAAGCCTTAAAGCTTGGCTAAATTAAACAAACATTTCCAGACTTGGTCTTCGCTGTGACAATTGTCTCGGACACGTAGTAGGTGGGAATAGACAGGTTTCCTCGCCCCACAATTATACAAAACGTTTAATCAATCAAGTACTTTTCACACAACACGTGGATGCTTCCCACAGAATGTCTGTCAGGTTTATATACAAAAATAATTGTGGCTTGTAAGCAATTTCATTTCGAAACTTTATTTAAAGTTCATGCCGTGAGTTTTCCAGTGTACCAACTGCGCAAGAAGAATGAAATCCTCCTGCTTCTTTGAAAATCGTGCTCGTAGAAGTGCAATTAATTCAACGAATAACCGTCTTTAGTTACGACGAAACTCTCGTTAGAAGGTTAAAGGCAGATCGTGCACGTCGGATTCTTCAATTGACCCGATAGTATCTCGCGAAGAGTCTTTCGGGCAGATTGGATCGAATTCGGACGGGTTTGTTACTTTTATCGATGGCCAGTTAAACCGTGACAGTTCTCGACGCAGTGGCCGATTGATCACGAGAAATTATCAGCCGCCGATTGATAAAGATACGAGGCATCGCAGCTGAAGCAAGCATGTTTCTTGATCTCATCTCAAAGGAAACGAGAAAACGGAGCACAAACGAGGGAGAGAAAAAGAGAGAGAACAAAAAGAACGAGAGTGAAATTGAATCGATGCATTCGCGCGCGTATTGAAAATTACTCGGCAAATTAATTCGTTTGACGAAGCAGCAGTTTCGTACACCGTTTCGCTGATGTGCGACAGATTGTTCCCTTCCTATCGATTGAATAAACGTTTCGATTTCTTCCTCCTCCCCTCCTATCGTTTCTCGTTTTGTTTTCCATCCCGAAGGGTGACTGTAAGCGCGCGCGAACCATGTTCAGTGAAAAAAAAAAAGAAGAAAAGAGA